AGCGACGCCAAGTATTATGTATGGGACGACCCGTATCTTTGGAAGCATTGTGCCGACCAAGTGATTAGGCAGTGTGTCCCGGAAGCCGAGTTCCACTCCATTCTTTCGTTCTGCCATTCACACGCATGTGGAGGTCACTTCGGAGGTAGACGGACAACTCATAAAGTGTTGGAAAGTAGTTTCTATTGGCCGACACTCTTCCGGGACGCGCATGAATTTTGTAAGTCGTGCGATAATTGCCAATGAACAGGTAACATCTCTAAGAGAAATCAAATGCCCCAGAACCCTATTATTATTTGTGAAATTTGCGATGTCTGGGGAATTGATTTCATGGGCCCTTTTCCTTCTTCGTTTGGTAATGAGTATATCTTACTTGCTGTGGATTATGTCTCGAAATGGGTGGAAGCAAAGGCCACCCGGACTAATGACTCTAAAGTTGTTGCAGGTTTAATAAAATCTAATATTTTTTCTAGGTTTGGTATCCCACGGGCGATGATAAGTGATCGAGGAACTCACTTTTGCAACAAGACAGTGGAGGCATTGTTTCGAAAGTATGGTGTCATGCACCGACTTTCAACCGCCTATCATCCACAAACAAGTGGTCAGGCCGAAGAGTCCAACCATGAGATTAAATCTATCCTGGAGAAGATGGTGAAACCCAACAGAAAGGACTGGAGCATTAAATTGGAGGATGCGTTGTGGTCCTACCGAACGGCTTATAAGACTCCAATCGGCATGTCTCCATACCGTTTGGTGTTCGAAAAGCCATGCCATTTGCCGGTTGAGCTACAGCACAAAGCTTGGTGGGCTATGAAAAAGTGTAACTTCGAGTATGACGATGCGGGATGCCACAGGAAATTGCAGCTGCAGGTGCTCGAAGAGATTCGAAACGAGGCTTTTGAGAATTCGGTGATCTTTAAGGAGAAGACGAAGGCCTTCCACGACTTAAAAATTTCGAGGAAGAATTTTGTCGAGGGGGAAAAGGTTTTACTCTTTAACTCCCGATTAAAATTATTCCGGGGCAAGCTACGCTCTCGTTGGATTGGTCCTTTTGTCATCATGAAAGTCTTTGGCCATGGTGCGGTGGAGATTTTCAGCCCTACAACGGGCAAGACGTTAAAGGTGAATGGCCATAAGCTAAAGCCGTACTATGGAGAGTTTGGAGGCGACGAGGTGGAACGGGTGCACCTAGAGCCACCGGTATCAATTTGAAAAGGGAGTATTCGGTCGAGCCAACGACGTTAAAAAAAGGCGCTAGTTGGGAGGCAACCCAATATTATTATTATTTTTATTATTATTATTTTAGTTTTAGTTTTAGTAGTTTATATTCTGTTGTTTTATTGAATGGGATAAATAATACACGAGAAAGAAAAATTTTCTGCTCTGTTCGTGCCTGTAGTAGGATTACTAATGCGTGTCCCATGTTCTATTGTGCTACAGATTCACTACGTGGGCTACAAGTATTTTGTGATGATCAGATAAGGGAAAATAAGATGCGGGCCTGCTAAATTGTGAAAGAAGCCGAATTTGGGCCAACTTTTGGGATATTTTAAATGGGCCCAATAACAAGTCACATTGGCAGCCCACCTCGCGTTGACTAAGGGCAGAAAAATAAAAGGGGCGCGTCGCTTTATCGTCTTCCAGAAGCATCCTGATGTGCTTCTGCACATTGGACCAGCTCTCCTTGGACCCGACCGCTTGAGCTCTCCAAATACCTGCAAAGACGCTGGGAAGTGCTCTTGGCGGTAAATCCCCGATGCTCAAGTTAGTGGGGTACCGAAGAGAGTTCAGTTTTTGTATTAGGGTTTC